GCCTCCAAGAGGACGGCATGGGACCTGCCGTTGAAGCGCCGCCTCAGGCTTCGCTTCTGAAGTACTCCTCCTTGGCTACCCTGGGATACTCTACGACTGCAACCATGCTGCGACGGCGCTGGGCATTTCTATTGACAGCTTCGAGCAACCACCCATCCAAGACTTGCTGAGAGATGCTACATATCAAGGTCCATTTGCGAAGGAGGAGAACGCGTCCGACTCTGGTGGAGGCACAGCCTGTTCGAAGTGGCGTTTAAAGTGTGTGGAGGCAGAGAAAGGATCATTTGTTTTTGGCTGCGCAGAAGTCTTTCGTGTTATGCGCGCATTCCGAGAAAGTGCGGCAACCGACTTGCAGCCTTCGCAAGACCCCCAGACTGGAGCTTCACCAGCAGACACAGTTTGCTATGTGTCCGTCGTAACGCGTCAGGATTGAGAACATCACGTCCATCACGACCAGACAATCGTCCCTCTGTCATGGATGAAGCACGTGTTTCTTTTCAGGCGATCCAAGAAACGAATGACGTTGTTGAGAACTATCTCGACACTAATAGCAGAGCCCTCCTAGAAGAGATCCGCCGCCAATCTCATGGAGATTAACTACGCAGACGTATTGCGAAGTCTGAGGGCCATTAGGGACAGATTCGGCGATATCCACGAAGTCACCAACTACGGTGTCCTCAATGAAGCCGAACATATGCTCCGTCATACAAAAGACCAATTTGATGAGAGTGCTAGACAAGGGCGGATCGAGAGGGCGGTACGACCCTGGGGATTCAGCATACACCCCGACGTCCCGTTGAAGTTCCAGCGAAGGAATGTTGACGGTCTCGAACTCCGAGTCGACTTATTCTTGAAAACTTACTGGAACTCGGAACCGGCTGAAAGACCCTGCCAGCTTGATTTAGCCATACGCGTATGGTGTATGAGTCAGGACACCTACTTCAGACCTGAGTGGGACGCCCAGCGACTTCAGAGCGCGGTTCTCGACCAAATACTAGGCCGTGGTAATGCTCAGAATCACACTCGATCTCTTGTTTTTCGAACAGTGGGCAGAAGGATCCACAATATCATGTGCAAGTTGGCGGAGGGGAAACTCGCGCGAGGACGACAGTGAGCTGCGTTCCAGAAGCTCTTTCAGGTACATCAAATCCCGTGGTTTCGCCTGCTCACACTCTCAATGACTTTTGGTACTCTTGTCACAGAGCTGATTGCAGGTGATTCGACTTTTCTATACCTACAAAGGACAAAAGAATAGTAATTGTTAGCGGAGTCGAGGGGGATTAGGTTTCAGATTGAGAGCGGGCGTGTACTGGCTCGGTCTGCTAACACACCGCACTACCCTCCACCACGCTGACGCATACTCATTCCTATACAGTGTCCTGATTACAGTTGGTGAAGCGCACTGAACTCTCCGCACCAGCTTCATTCCTGAGCAGTGCGAGACTTTCTCGCTATCACAGCTCGCACGCAGCGCCCGTCCGCTCTGTTTTTCGTCGCTCTATCCTAGGATCGTCGAGAAAACGAGCATATTCCACTATCGCTCCTGCCATCCAAGTCTCGTTTCTGCATACCTCAGTTGTCGCGTCAGGCATCTGACGGTCTCTGATTGATTGCTCACCTCGTCGTTCTTCACCGCTCCTTCTCCCCCGCATAGTCCGCCATCACTCTCCCACTCCGTTCTGACTCACGCAAGTTCCATAGTCCCCTCCTGAGAACTCGCTCAGCCGCTTACCGAATGCTGCTCCTCTGCCCACCTTGGTCTTGACACTCACTGATCGAGCGCAGCACGTGAGCCAGACAACTTCTTCTGTCTCACCTCCCCGACAGAGCCCGCGCATCGTATCTTCTGAGCTCGGTCGGGTCACCATACTTCCCGCATATTCGCCCGAACAACCTCCCTGACCGTCCTCTTGGCGTGACGACGACGCGCACCTGGTACCAGTGCATCATCGTCTCGACGTCCATCAGAAATGGGCGCCCTCTCCGTCCACTCGCTTTCGCTCTGTTTCGTCTGTGTGGACCACCGCGTGTCACCGCACGGGCTCCCGAAGCCTCTGGTAATCATCTCCCGACATGCTCCCCGTTCGTCGCAGTGCGTCCTGAGTGATTGCGGCTCTGGCTCAACTCAACTCCGGTCAGCGCTCTGAGCAACGCGGTACCTCCGCACCGGTTGCCCACGTCCGTATTGGAGCATGTGGACCGCATGCCATGCACTCGTCTTCCCACACGGTGGGCGCTCGCCCGTTACTTGGTCCGCATCCAACCTCGGCGTGGCGTATCCTCGTACCCCTACACCCCCGTACCTAACTAACCCCCCAGCCCCCCAACCATCCCTGCACGATAAACCCCAAACCGCCGCTCCACGTAGAACTTGCTCTAAAGGCGACTCGGGACCCCCGCACCCCCCCCGCTCGCCCCCCCCCCCCACTCCCTCGTCCCCCCTACTCCAACCCCGCAAAAGTCTCCAGACCCCCCTTACTTATGACCCAGCTCCACCTTCAACTATACCTAACCTCCCACCCCCCCCCAATCCATCTAACGCCGGTCGCCATACCCCGCCCTTCGTCTGCTTCTAGACTACCCAAACCCTTCCCACCGGCCGCACTTTCTCTAGTGCCGCCTGTGTCCAGCAGCCCTTATTCTTCGCCTACATCCACGACAACAAATAACCCGGACAAACCCCTGCACTCCGTACTTCTTTTACAGTCCACCACTGCTGTCCCCTGGGGGGCATCTCGGATAAGTCCTGTCACTTATGCAAATCCACTCCTCCTGCTCGAGGCAACCGCCATCCACATCCCAGGGACAGGTTGTCCCCAGGCCACCTCCACGTCCACAGGCTCGGCTGTGACCTCATCTCAAGGCACGGCGGCTTGCGGTAGCTGAACGACCTCATTCCCCGGCTTTCGCCGTGACTTTTTGGGATCTGTTGGTTCGACTTCGCCTCACACCTTAGGAGAACGGGGCTGCCCTCGCTTATCCCAAACGCACTCAGACTTGGCCTCGGCGAGTTCCTATACTGCACTCTTGATCGTCGCCGTCAGACGCGTCAACCTGATCGTAGCTGTCGGCTGACCAGTCGATCAGCATCCACCGTGCATACACAGGGGTGGAGTGGTCTCTGTCTGTACACATACCGAGTATAAAATACCACCAGCCTATCGCAACGCCTCAGCCGAAGCCGCTAATACAATCACGGACGAATATAAGGGCATCAGGCGTGAGCCTACTTGGACAAGGGCTCTTAGAACATCTCAGGACCACCTATTAGCCGAGTATTTTCAGTGCGCCATGGGAGCTGTAACTGGGAAGAAGAGCGTTCTCGAAGCTCTCTGGAATGTAGACGACTGGGAATGACAGGTGCCAACATCGTAAATGATGAGATTATCTCGCCTCCAGATAAAGGAATGGCAGATACACCTGACATGTTGGCTGACGCTGCAGTTCGAGCCATCGGGGTCTCAGGGGCTACTTCGTGGCTCGAACCTTGCGCTGGTTCAGGTCAGATAATAGAAGCCGTACTACGGGCAGGAGTCTCACCTAATGCGGTCTTCGCCGTCGATCTACAGACCCAACTACCAGCACTAGATCGCCTTGGAGTCGAAAGTCTCCCTGGACCGATTTCATAAGCTGGGCGCACGAAACGGATCGACGGTTCGATCGTGTCATTGCAAATCCACCATTTGTCAGACTCAGTAAGTTGCATGAGGCTCTCCTATGTCCCGCTATTGATACCCGATTGGATGGAGTCCACATCTCTGGTACGGCAAACTATTGGGTAGCCTTCTTGCTCGCTGGGATGAAACTCCTCCAGCCCGGCGGGTCAATGTCTTACATCTTGCCAGCCGCTTGGGAGTACGCAGACTATGCTAATCCGTTAAGGGTGTTGTGTTCATCTTCGTTCCGCGAGTTAGATGTTCACCGAGTGTCAGAGCCTATGTTCGACGAAGTGGAAGATGGTTCTGTATTGCTCGTGGGCCGCGCTCGAGAACAGACCATCGCGCAGCGACGTAGCGGTATCAGGTATGGGACCCTATCGGATCTGAGCATTGCCCTTAGGACGGACGCTACCCTCAAATACAGCTACCCTCAAAATACACATAACTACTAACCCTCAGCAATAAACACATCTGTTGGTGCCAGATCGCGTTGCAAGATGTGTCACTGAGGATACCGAGGTGGCGATGGGTAGACTCGCGGAAAGCCGTATCGGTGGGCGGTACAACGACGCACATCTCTTTTTGCTCACCGAGAGCCGACGTGAGGAACTAAGACTTCCAAGATCAGCGGTCCGCCCCATACTCTCCAGATCTGAACACCTCGTGAAGTCAGAGATAGATCAAGAGGCTTGGCAAGATCTGCTAGACGACGATAAACGCGTATGGCTATTCGATCCCTCTAACGATGACCTAGAAGACAGATCAGTTCAGGCATACATCAACCTGAAAAGAGAGGATGGTGGATGTCACCGTGCGGCGCTCAAGGTCATGAGTCGAGACCCATGGTATCGTGTCCCGCTTCCTCCCACTTTTGACGGTTTTGTTTCAGGAATGTCACAAGCCACTCCATGGGTGACGGACGCTACAACCGATGTCCGACTTGCTATACATCAACACGTCTCTACGGCGTCAGTTTTCCTTCCCTCAAAAGCGTTGATGACCAGGCCGCATGGTGTCTGTCGATGCTTTCCTCAAAGACAACTCGCTCGAGGGAACTGCTAGCTCGAGAATATCCACATGGCGCTGTTGAAACGTGGAACCAGAGCACGATCGCATCATTAGCGGTGCAGCGCCCGACGACGACTGAGGATGCTCGCAGTCTGTATCGTCAAGCCGTAGACCTGATCACATCTGGATGCCGTGACAGGGCTCAGGCGATGGTTGACGAGTGGCTGGGCGAGGAGAATTAGGAACGCAGACAGGAGATTGCTCTCTGTTGCGGGCCGTAGTGCAGGCTATCGACGACTCACCTCCACTCCCGCCCCAACCGCCTTGCACGTTCTATGTCGCGTGACTGGCCACGGTTTCGCTGAAAAACAAGTGGACAGGCTTTGGCTGTCCCCTGTTTGATTGGGTCTTATTCAGATAGAGCGTCCGGGCCCTACTCCATGCGGAGCCGCCCCAGGCGCGGGAGACGCCGCCGGCGGTCGGCTCTACTATCGCGTTGATGACTGCGGGCTTGCCGCTGTCGAAGCGGCGCTGGAGAGCGGGCTTGATCTCGTTGGGGTCCTCGACCCTCTCGCCGTAAGCGCCGAGCTCACGGGCCATGCCGTCGTAGTTGGTGAAGCCGAGCTCGCGACCGGGCTTGCGACGGTCGGGAGTGCGGGCGGTCCAACCGGCGTTGTTGGAGATCACGGTCACGACCGGGATGTTGTGCCGGACACAAGTGTCCAGTTCCATCGCGTTCATACCATCGAGCCGTCGCCGTGGAGCACGAGCACCTGCTTGTCGGGCTTGGCCAACTGCGCGCCTATGCCGTACGGCAGGCCGACGCCCATGGTGCCCGTGACGCCCGAGTTCAGCCTGTGACCGGGCTAGAACGTCGGGATGGTCTGGCGTCCGATGTGCAGGATCTCGTTGCCGTCAACCGAGACGATTGCGTCGCGGTCGATGAACTCACGAATTTCCTTGCAAAGCCGCACCGGGTGCATTGGCGACTGGTCGGAGTTCAGCAGCGCGGCGCCCTGCGCGGCACGCTGGTCTTCCACCTCGCTCAGGCGCACAATCCAGTCCGACTCTATGCGGCCCGCCCAGTCAGCCTCGCGGGTCCGGGCTTCTGCCACCAGCTGAGACATGACGGCCTTGGCGTCGCCGACGATACCGAGGTCAATGTTGCGGTTGTGTCCAAGCTCTGCGGGGTCGATGTCGATCTGCACGACCGTCGCGTCGGGGTTGAATCGGTGTCCGTACTGGACCATCCAGTTCAGCCTGGTGCCGACAACGAGCACGAAGTCGGTCTCGCGCATGGCGGTGCTTCGCGCGGCCTGGAACGATACGGGGTTGGTCCTCGGCCACCAGGCCTCGGGACATCGGGGCCGTGTAGAACGGTGTCGCCGTCATGTTGACGAGCTCGGTCAGCTCGTCAGCGGCGCCGGAGAAGAACGCGTAACCGCCAGCCGCGCGAGATACATCGGCGCGAATCAGCGGCTGCGAGCATGTCGATGGTCTCCCTGACGATGTGGGCCTCTGCGGCCGGCCGGGTGCGCCTCTCGGCGCGCCAGGGGGTTATGGCTTCTTCCTCGTCGATCTCTTCGTCTACTAGCACGTCGGCGCGCATCGATATAGACGTGGGCCGGGCGTCGTCAGTGGCCTGCGGAAGCCGTGCTAGACTACCTCCTTCGGGCTAGCGCGCGCTGGGTGTCTGGTGAACCCACTTCATCATCGGGTCCATGATGCCGACCTGGTCGACCTCCTGGAAGGCCTCTCGTCCGATCTCATGCACCGGGCCTGCGCCGCCGAGTATCACCATGGGGGCGCAGTCGATGGCGGCAGTATAGACGCCGGTGAGCAGGTTGAGCGTGCCTGGGCCGCGAGCGGCGTGCAGACACGGGCTTGCCCGGTGACTGCGCATAGGCGTGAGTCTGCGACCGCTGCCGGCCTGCTCGTGTGCCGAAGTCGTACTGTCAGCTGAATGCGAAGTCTCGTCATGCCATAACGATGTCGAAGTTGGGTCCACCTCAGTAGAGAGAGCGTATCGCACGCCCTCTATCCTGAGTCCGTCTCGCGCACTGTCAGATAGCTTCGATAACTTGCTGCCGCATGCGCCTCTCCTAGTTTGATCTCCGGTGAATGTTGGCCTCGTCAACAGGCTGCTGACAGGCCACGCAAAGGGTATCACAAACGTGAATAAAGGGTCACGGAGGGTGGAGTCCGGTGCTGACTAAGTTGATTCAGCTTCTTTCTGTGGTCTAACTCGTCTGATACAGCACTCTCCGTAGCATGCACTGTACGCAGCGCATCGCGAGGACGCAGTATTGCGCCATCGTGACTCTGGAAAGCCAGCTCAACGGACGCATCGCCACTCTGCTGGGCCGCATGGCTCCCGAGTGGAATGCTCGCGGGGAAAACAAAGGCGCCTTCCAAGGTACCAGAAACAGCCGGACATCCTGATCACCCAGACGGGCGCTCAGCCGTGGTGATCGAGAACGAGTACCTCCCCGCGAACACGGTTGAGGTCGAGACGCGGGACCGATTGTGCGAGAATCTCGACGCAAGTGTCGTTCAGGCGTCGGGCAGAGTCAACGCGGTTATCGCGCTCAGGTCTCCCGTAGCACACATTTTACACGTTCTATCTCTCCTCTTTCGAGCTAGCTGCGCCGTGCTGCGGACGAAGTCGACAAGACACTGAAAGAGGGCGTCACGCTGGAGTACGCGCTTTTCACAGGGTCGAGTGACGTTGACTCCATGCGGTTTCCGAAATTGGGATTCATCAAGGGCACCATCAGGGACCTGGCGGCGTTCATCGAGTACGCATCTACCCCTGAAGATGCTGTCCAGAGAGCTGTGATGATCCTGGAGGAGGGCGTTCAGGACGCGGCCGCGACTCTGCGGCAGGCGGCGGAGCTGAGTGAGGATACACAGGCGTCGATAGTCGAACACCTCAAGCAGTCGTACAGCGACCAGACGCTGCGCATGGCGGCAACGATTGTGATCAACGCCCTCGTGTTCCACCAGAACCTGGCCGGTCAGCACGGCGTGAAGAACCTGTCGCAGATCGCAGCCAACGGCGGTCTGACACAGGCCAGCGTGCTGGAGGAGTGGCAAAAGATACTGGGCGTCAACTACTGGTCGATATTCAACATCGCGAGCGAGCTGCTGCGCTCCATCAACCCGCCTGAAATGGCGGTGGACGCGCTGCGGATAATGAGTCGCACGGCGGACAGGTTGGTCGCGCTGGGCGTCTCGCAGTCCCACGACCTCTCCGGGACGGTGTTCCAGCGCCTGATATGCAGACCGCAAGTTTCTGGCGACCTTCTACACGAGGCCGGAGTCCGCAACGCTGCTGGCCCACCTCGCCATACCGGACGATGGAGACTGGAAAGACACGGAGCGGGTCAGGGATTTCCGCATCGCGGACTACGCTTGCGGAACCGGCACGCTGGTCCACGCGGCGTACCGGCGACTGAACCAGCTCCACTGGCTCGCGGGAGGTGAGCCGGAGAAACTGCACGCGCACATGATGGAGAACGCACTGACCGCATGCGACGTTCTTCCATCATCGGTCCACCTGACCGCGTCGATGCTGTCGTCGTCGCATCCTCGTCAGAGATACGACGGCTCCCGCACTATCGTCATGCAATATGGAAAGACCGAACAAGGCAATGTGTCTATCGGCTCACTTGACCTGTTGGGTGACACCGGAGTAGCCAGACCGCTAATCCCTCTGCATACGGCCACCACTGTTACGGGTACGGGAGAAACACAATCGCAACTCGACGTGGATATGCCGCCAGCTAGCCAGAATCTCGTAATCATGAACCCGCCGTTTACCAAACCAGACTCAGATTGGGACGGGAACAAGGACGAATCGTATCACTCTAAACACTTCCACGGACTTAGTACCGATAGAGAACTCAGGCTAAGATGTCTGCCCTTGCTAAGGAGTACGGTAAAAACACCTGTGCGCATGGCTATGCTGGCCTTGCATCTTGGTTTATAGCTCTCGCTGACCGCATGGTTAGAAAAACCGGAACTATCGCGCTTGTGCTTCCGATGACCGCCATGCAGGGCATGAGTTGGCAAAAGGCTAGGCAGGTACTAGCTCGGAATTATCGAGACGTAACGGTGCTGACCATCGCCGCTGCCCGTCAGGACGACCAGTCGTTCTCGGCAGACACCGGCATGGCAGAAGCTCTGCTTGTGTGCCGGGAATCCTCGAATGCTCCAGATAGGCGTGGTCGGTTTGTATCGATCAGGCGCAGGCCCGACAGCGAGATGGAAGCGACCGAGATCGCCAGGGCGATTCGCTCCACAGCCGACACCTTGCCTGTCAGAGCACTCGAAGATGGTCCATTCGGTGGTAATACGCTGTCAGTCGGCGATGATCGAATCGGTGAAATGATCGAAGCTCCGCTGAGCTTGAACGCGCCTTGGTCAGCCGTTGGAATCGCTGATTTCGCCGTAGCGCAAACTGCCTACCAGTTGGTCAATGAAGCGATCTGGCTACCGCAAGATGGAGAAGAGGCACTGGCCATTCCCAATGAGCACAGTGATCGATCTGTCATGTGGGCATTCAAGACCAGAATATCGTTGGCAACGGTGGCCAAACGGCATTCGTTCGCATCAAGCCAGCATCGGCTGCTCCGACGTACCCGATGCTGTGGGGCCATGACGCCCAGCTTGAGACGCGTATGGTGGTCGCACCTGACAGCGAAGGGGAGGTCAAGCTCGGCAGGAAACAGCGCGCCGAGGACGATTTGGGACACGCGTAGCCACGCGCACCACAACCGGGACTTTCGGTTCAACGCCCAACCCCTGTCGGTCGCCTTCACTGAAGACCAGACCATCGGCGGCAGGGCGTGGCCGACGTGAAGTTCGACGAACGATCTCAGGAGATCGCATACACACTTTGGGCCAATACGACACTGGGGCTGCTGTGCTACTGGTGGCACTCCAGTCGTCAGCAGGCGGGACGGGGCAGCATGCCGATCACGGCCATCCGCTCGATGCCGACGCTGGACGTCACCAAACTGACTCCGGACCAGCTCGCGAAGGCCGAGGAGATCTTCGAGGACATGCGAGACTCGCAGTTCCTGCCAGCGAACGAGGCGTACCGCGACAACACGCGGAAGGAGCTGGACCACCGCGTCCTGATCGACATACTGGGACTGCCTGAGAGCATCATGGAGCCTCTGGACCTGCTCAGGCTGAAGTGGTGCTCAGAGCCGAGCGTCCACGGGGGCAAGAAGACCGCGCCGGAGGGGTGAGGGGAGACGGTGGGTTGGCGAGTGGCCCGCCGCCGCGGGTGGATTCCCGCGCCCGCGGGAATGACGGTGGATGAGGGTGATGCCGAGCAGCTTGCGATCAGGTCTTCATGGATGTCAAGAACTTCCTCGATAGTCGGGAAGCTGCGGGTCACTGAGCCAGTAGCTTGGCAAGCAGCTTGTTCTTATCCACGCTTGCGCGGTATTGGGCCATGACTTCAGGACGAATCTTGGGCCGTTCTCTGCCTTTCATCGGTTATGACGGATGGCCTGCCGCCCCAACTGTGGCCAGGCGGCTGGGGCGCTGCACTTCTCCAGCCGCTCAGCCAGGGGGAGACTGTCGTCCCAGTTGTGTGCGATTACGCGCCGGCCGCTGAACTCGGACGAGTCATCCGAGGCCAGCCAGACCACCGGCTTCTGCATCACTTCGGACGCCATCATCTGGTCTCTCTGGTTGGGATCGCCGCTGTAGGTCATGTTGGTGTAGGTGGAGCCTCCGGGAACCAGGACGTTGGCGGTGGCTCCGGTGCCTTCCAGTTCCTGGGCCATGATGGAGACCAGCGCTTCGTGTCCTGCCTTGGATGGGCCGTATGGCGACGCGCCCTTGCGCCACATGGTGTCCATGCTTGTGGTCACTCCGATTATGCGACCCCATCCCTGGTCCAGCATATGGGTCACTGCCGCCCTGGCCATGTAGAAGGCCCCATTCAGGTTGACCGCCACCACACGGCTCCAGGCCTCTGGAGAGTTGTCCCAGAAGTTGGCGGGGTTGGTCCCCACTCCGCCGGCTCTTGGATTGATGCCGGCGTTGTTTACCAGGATGTCCAGTCCGCCCAACTGCGAGATGGTGGTGTCCACTGCATCCTGGCATGACCGAGAGTCGGTGACATCGGAAACGACGGCGATGGCGCAGTCGTCCCCACCAATCTCTCGTGCATCGTTGATGGACTGGTCCAGCCACTCCTGGTTTATGTCGGTCAGCACCACCCTGGCCCCGGCCTGTACCAGTCCCAATGCTATGGCGCGTCCCATCCCGATGGGACTTCCAGCGCCGGTAACTATCGCCACCTTGCCTTCGAGCGGTCTCTCGGCCACAGTGCACCTCCTCGGTAGTAACGGAAGTTCGGTGTACTCAGGGCTAGGAGGCGGACAGCCACTCCCTGAGCACCCGAATGTGGTCGGGTGTCGTGCCGCAGCACCCTCCGATTATCCGCGCCCCCTGTTCGCTCCACCCCTTCGCGTACTCCAGGTACTGCTGTGGGTCCACGGGGTTTGCCTTGTGGGTTGGGCCACCTGAGCGGGGGAAATGGGCGTAGGCGCCGAAGGATCCCGACCAATTCTTCTTGACTATCTCCAGCCCGGGCCCTGTGTCGTCCACCGGCGTGTGCATTATGAACACCGTTGCGATGTCCCTGTCCTTGATGGCGTCCATGGCGTCCTGAAGGGTCTCGCCTCCATGCCTGTCCTGGATGCCCAGGTAAAGCCCGTCTCCATCCCGGACCAGGGAGAGCCCGACCCACACCGGGAGACCCAACTCTGCTGCCGCTTCTATAACCGCGAGCGTGTCTGATATCCGGACCAACATCTCGCCCACAACCACGTCCGGGCCGCCTTTGGTCAGCTCTCCCAGCTGCTCCCGGTAGGTCTCCAGAGCTTTCTCATAGGGCACCGGAACTTCCGCGTGTGCCTTGGGAGCCATCGTAGATACGGAGGCCGCAATGACCACCGAGTCCTCTGTCCCCGGCGTTTCTCCTTGCCTGTACCGCCGCTTCGATTCCCAGCTTGTTGGCCTCGGCTACCTTGTGCTCGAGGCCGCCCTCTTCCAGCATGTCACGCCCTGTGCCAAAGGTGTTTGTGATGATAATCTCGGCGCCCGCTTCTATGTATTCCTGATGAATATCCCTCACCAACTCGGGATGGGTGAGCATCGGACCGCCCGACCACGTGGTGGGGCTTGCCAGCCCCCGCCTCTCGATCTCCGAGCCCATACCCCCGTCCATCAAGATCGTCTCCCCCGCTGCCAGGCGGCCCTGCAATTTCTCAAAGTTGCTCATGTTTCTCTCCTGGTGAAATCCGAATTTGCCGTTCCAGTCCGGGCGCTAGACATCGGGAAATAGCTCACGAGTCTGAGGGTCTGCTTTCGCGGGAATGACGGAATGGCGACACCGACAAAGTTGATACTGTCTAGGAGTTGTGACCGAGGCCGACGGCCCCGGAGTCAGTGCAGCGGTCACACGGCGAGCGCGGTCTGCTCGTACCAGTTGTAGTTGGCTGACCCGTCTTGGGCGTTGCCCTGTTGGGAGGGAATCACGAACCCGGTGGGAGACACCTGCGAGGTGTAGGCTGAGTTGTTCGTGACCGCGTTGGCAGAGACGGCGTATGCGCTGGTGAACAGCAGCATGGCGACGATTATCGCCAGGGCGATGGGAAAGACTATCGGTATGTCACGCATGGCCCGGACTGCTCCTCTTCCGGCTTCCACATAATACCAAATCGTTGCGTGCCACCCATTACGTGTTCGCAATGATCCGCCCCGTATCGTGGTGCGGGATGACGTTCTTTCGCGTGAATGACGGGTTAGCGAGTCGGACTCAGGTACTCTTCGAGGTGCTTTCTCAGCAGCACGCGGCCCCGATGGAGACGCGACTTGAAGGATGAGACGGTGATGTCGAGCGCATCGGCGGCTTCGGCGTTGGTCAGTCCTTCTACGTCTCTCAGGAGGACGGCGGCCCTGAAGTCTTCGGGCAGCATCGCGATGCCCTCGCGCAGCCTGTCGCCGAGCTCGGAGTTCGAGGCGAACCGTTCGGGCGTGTCCGACCAGTCCGGTATGTCCACGTCGTCCAGGCCGGTCCGCGTTAGGGTCTTCTCCCTCTTCTCCTTGCGCAGACGCATCAGAGCGGCGTTGACCGTGATCCGGTACAGCCAGGTCGTGATCTTCGAGTCCCCTCTGAACCGGTCGTATGCCCTGTAGGCCGACAGCAGTGCGTCCTGTGCGACCTCCTCGGCGTCTTCCGGCCTGCCCATCATCTTCAGGGCGACGTTGTACACCAGGTCGGAATGCTGTTCGACGATCTGCTCGAAGTCAGCGACCGCTGTGGTATTCTGTGAGTGCTGTACCGACTGTTCTGCCACGGTCTTCTCGGGTGTTTCAGCCTCGATGTGTCTCGCAGGAAAGTCCGGCTGGACTCAATCTGCATCCTTTTGAATCGCCTTGCATCCAATTGTATCTGATAGATGGGTTAGCAGTAAGTGGCAAAGTCGGATCGCTCGTGGGCCGTCATGTTGACGGTCAGACGGGGTTGGACTAGAGTTTAGTCGCTTCATCAGAGACGGTAACTGGCAGGATGATTTCACGACTGGTCAGATTTTTCAGGAGGCGCGAGCTCGACTGCGGTGAGGTAAGAGCAGCGTCCTCGGACTTCCTCGACGACGAGCTCAGTTCAGGCGCGTCGTCCAGGATCAGGGCGCACCTTGAACGGTGCCCTGCATGCACTGCGTTCATAGAGACGCTGAGAGCCACGATCGACATGCTGCGCTCGACCGCCGGGTCCGGAGCTCCAGCCGGATTCAGGGAGCGCGTTAACGAGCGCCTTCGCAGCGGCTAGTGTGTAGCGACGCTCCACATGGATTGCCGCTTTCAGATACCACTGCATAGCCCCCTCTCCCTGAGGGCTGAGAGGGGTAGGTAAACAAATAAATCGTTCGTCCTGAGCTTGTCGAAGGACCCACAGTCTCTGGATTCCGGCCTACGCCGGAATGACGAATTGTGAAATACCTACCCTTGTCAGCTCCCTGAGGGTGAGGGTGAAAACGGCCCGATCGCAATCTGCTGGGCACCACCCACGCCTATCTGGATTCCGACCTTCACTCAAATGACGGATGTGAAAAGCGCCCACGTACCTGCGACACGCGCATAGAGGCAGAGCTCTCATGAAAATCGCCGTCTGTATAAAACAGGTGCCCGTCATCTCGATGCTCAAGTTTGACAACGAGACTCGCCGCGTGGTGCGCGAGGGCGTGCCGAACGAGGTCAACCCATACGACGTTCTGGCGCTTTCGCTCGCCATGCGACTCAGGCAGGAACAGGGAGCCGAGGTCGTCGCGCTCACGATGGGGCCGCCGCAGGCGTCCGACGCGCTCGTCCAGGCTCTCGCCATGGGTGCTGACCGCGCAGTTCACCTCAACTGACCGCGCATTCGCCGGCTCTGACACGCTGGCGACCTCTCGCGCCCTGGCACTGGCTCTCGAACGCGAGCAGCCTGACCTCGTCATCTGCGGACGCAACAGCACGGACGCGGAGACCGGACAGGTCGGCCCAGAGATCGCCGAGATTCTCGGAGTGCCGCAGATTACGGCCGTGTCGAAGCTCGACTTAGACCCTGAGGCGGGCACGATTTCAGCTACACGTCTGACGGACGAGGGCTACCAGGAGTTGGAGTGTTCGCTGCCCGTGCTGGTGACCATCACCGACGGCGCGGCCGAGGAGATCTATCCGAGGCGGGAGCAGATGCAAGAAGCCGCTTCCAGACCGGTCCAGCAGGTGACCGCCGCCGACCTGACTGAGGATCTGTCCCAGTTCGGACTGGACGGCTCTCCGACGTGGGTCGATGAGATCTTCTCCCTGGAGTCGACAAGGCTCGGCACGGTCGTCCGCGACCTCCCGCCCGACGAATCGGTGGCACAGCTCATGGAGTTCCTCGAGGATGGAGGGGCAGGGGACGGTGCTCATTGACGACGATAGATTCCCTGCTTCTATAGAAGTAGATGTGGAGTAAGTTGGGGACGGGTGAGAAGAGAACGATGCAGAAGATATTTACGACGATGCCGATGACGTCCTCCTTTTCGTTCAGTCCGGCGGAGGACGGAGCTAGCTAGCTGACAGAGGCCCAAAGGCATGGAGCGCGGGGCGTCTCAGGGCGGCGAGCTGGGTAGCGCGAGGAGGATACGGGGTCATAGGTGGAGAGGTACGGCCCGTCACGCTGGAGCTTCTACGGAAGGGCACGCGAGCTTGCGTCGCAGATAGGCACCAGCGTCGAGGCCGTGCTGATAGGAGACGCCGACGATGGACGCATCCGGCAACTGACCGCGTACGGAGCGGACACGGTGCACGTTACGGTCGGGCCAGGACTTGCCGAGTACGACACCGAGACTCACACTGCCGCGTTAACGGCTGCGATCAACGCCCACTCGCCGTACGCCGTGCTGGTGCCGTCCACGGCCAACGGACGCGATCTGCGCACGCGTGGCCGGCAGGCTGCATCTTGGACTCACCGGAGACTGCGTGGGCCTCGACATCGACGACGAAGGACGGCTCTCGCAGCTCAAGCCTGCGTTCGGTGGAAGCATCGTAGCTCCAATCCTGTCGCGCACTCTTCCCAACATGGCGACTGTGCGGCCCGGCATCCTGACGGCGTGTGAGCCGGACGACTCGATCGAGCCGGTGGTCAATCGGATCGAAGTCGGGACGGTCGAGGCGTCAGGGGTCAGAGTGCTCAGGAGCGTGTCAGACGAGTCGGCGGAAGGCGCAGAGCTGGAGCACGCTGCGAGGATTGTGTCCGTCGGCAAGGGTATAGGCGGGCCTGAGAACCTCGGGCCGATACGCGAGCTTGCATCGGCGTTTGGCGCGTCTATTGGCACGACTCGGGACGTATGCGACCTCGGATGGCTGCCGCGCCAGTACCAGATAGGGCTGTCTGGCAAGGCAGTCGCGCCGGAGCTGTACGTGGCAGTCGCGCTGCGCGGGCCATTCAACCACACGGTCGGCATCCAGCGGTCGGGGACAATCGTCGCGATCAACAACAGCGCACGGTCGCAGATTCAGATAGTAAGATTGATTTCCGAAGCGTCCCCGACTTCGGAAAAATCCTAGGGAGACTGGAATGAGATAGTGCCGGAGTTGACCAGCGCAGTCAGGCGTCGTCTGGGCGTATGTGATTTGTGTGATTCGCAATCAGCGGCCGCAGGACTACCTTACCCGTACTGGAGGTTTAAGTATGGCAGAAGTATCAATCACGCCGCGAGCGAACGGTCCGCTACTGATCCAGGGGGACTTCAAGATCGTCGATGCCCAGGGCAACGAGTACTCCGTCGAGGGAGACGTGGTGACGCTCTGCCGCTGCGGCCAGAGCGAGAACAAGCCCTTCTGCGACGGCACCCACCGCCCCGCCGGATGCGGACGGCCAGACCGACAGCGAGCGCGAAGTGAAGTTCAAGTAGCGTAGCAGTATAAGCAGAGTAGCAGTCACTTCTCCACTCATTGAAGGGGGAGCGGAGATAGTAGCCTCAAGGGAGAGTAGTCACACTCGGAAAGAAATCGAGAGTTAGAAGCGGAGAGTAGAGGGAAGCGGAGGAGAGTAGTCACACTCGAAAGACATCACCCCCGTGAGTCCCTGTCAGCCCAATGCGCGGCTGTCACGGAGACTACCGGGGGTGATCTATTCTATAAGGGATACGTAGGCAGACCCGTCGCAATATATGCGAACGGATACGTTGTTGATCGCAGGCTATTTCGTCGTTATTCGTCACAGAAGGCAGCCGCACTGTGCTAGAATCGAGACAGGAGGGAAGCATGGCCACCAGACCTGCTGACACGGCTTCCACTACCGATCTCAACGAGGTCTTCTACCCTGAATCGGACGGTATGCCTTTGCCCGACGGAGAGTTCCAGGCGCCACTTTACCGTGAGGTCCTGTCCATATTCGAGGAGTACTACCGAGGGACCAGGGCCCAGAGGCACACATGTCAATCAACCGGCCAAAACACGTTCCGTGTAATTACGAGGGGGGGCAACCCAGCGCTTGGCTATCCCCGGGAATGCTACGTGTCTCGACATCAGCATGGAGCCGATAGAGAGGTACAACACCTATCGGGTCTGGGAGATGGGCAAGCCGCCGGACTTCGTGCTTGAGATCGGCTCTCCCAGCACCGCGACAACTGACCTGGTCGCCAAGCGAGAGCTTTACGCTCAGATGGGAATAGAGGAGTACTGGCGCTTCGACTCGACGGGCGGCGACTTCTACCGGGAACCCCTGGTGGGAGAGCACCTGGTCGATGGGCCGGAGAGTACCGAACGCTTGGAGTGTTGGATCCGCGAAACCCGTGCGGTCTCGTGCGAGTCCACAGCCCTGTGTTGGAGCTGGACCTGTGCTGGGACAACGGCCACCTGCGTGCCTACAACCCCGCTACGGAAAAGTGGCTGCTAAGTTCCAGAGATGTCTCCAAGCTGGCCAGGGAAGAACGGGCTGCCAGACAGTCAGCCGAAGCTATTGCCGATGAAGAACGGGCCGCCAGACAGTCAGCCGAGGCGAGGCTGGCCGAAGTGGAAGCCGAGCTGAGACGCCTGCGTGGCCAGTAGCTGCCGACGCTACTCTTCCTCTGGCGGGGTGTACTGGCCGAGGAAGACGCGGGTCAGTATGTCGGTGTCCCTCACCGACTGCGGAGTGCCGCTGTGTACGACCCTTCCCTTATCCAGCACGTAGGCGCGGTCGACTATGTCGAGCACGCCCTTGATGTTGTGCTCCACGACCAGGATAGTGGTGTTGAGCCTGTCGCTGATCTCTGAGACCTTCTGAAACACCTCGCCGACCACTATTGGCGCGAGGCCCAGCGTCGGCTCGTCCAGCAGAAGAACTTCAGGGCCTGCCATAAGTCCCCGGCCAAGAGCCAACATCTGCTGCTGTCCGCCTGACATCTGGCTGGCGAGGTCTCCGCGCTTCTCGTGCAGTACCGGAAACAGCTCCATGACCGAGTCCATGCGCCGGTCCTTCTCAGCCGGGTCGTTGAGGTAGAGACAACCCATTTCGAGGTTCTCCGCAACGGTGAGATGGGTAAATACCCGCCTGCCCTGCGGGACGAACGCGATGCCCTCTTTTACTATCTCGTGAGTGGCCGCTGCAAGAGGCTCCTGGCGCCAGTACACTTCTCCGCCGACCACGGGCGCAAGGCCCATGATGGCCTTGAGAACAGTGGACTTGCCGGCGCCGTTGGGCCCCATCACCGCGACCGCCTCTCCCCTGCGCACGCCGAGCGATATGCGGTCCAGCGCAACCACCGCGCCGTAGTGGACCGATATATCGACCAGGTCCAGTAGTTTCACATCTGTCTGTGTGTCCGCCATTCTCTAGCACCGTGCCCAGATATTTCTGCCTTGATCCAGACTGTAGCAATCACTGGATTCCCGCTTTCGCGGGAATGACGGTTTGGGGATGAAGCACCTGTAGTCTTTGAGTGAACACGGCGCTATGTCCCCAGGTATGCCTCTATGACCTCTTCGCTGGATAGGACGTCTTCGACTTCTCCCTCGGTGAGCAACCTGCCGCTGTCGAGCACGATCAGATGATCGGTCAGCTCACGGACGATGTCCATATTGTGAGATACGAAGATGATGGAGCGATCCTCGTCGCGCATGAGCCTCATAATGTCCTTGACTCTCTCCAACATCTGGGGGAAGAGACCGGCGAACGGCTCGTCGAACAGGTACGTGTTGACCTCGAGGGCCATTGCGCGGCCGATCTCCAGCAGCTTGCGCTGGCCGTATGAGAGGTCCATGGCGAGCGCGTCCCGCTTCTCCCACATCCCGACGTTTTCGAGTATGCGCTGCGCCTTTTCGCGGTGGCCCGATTTGCCGCGCTCCATCAGCGCACGAAACGGACTCCTCTCGGTCAGCACAACCAGATGTTGTCCCAGACGCTGATCTGATCGAACAGCCGGACCTCCTGGAACGTGCGGGTGAGGCCATGTTCGGGAGTCTCGTAGGCTCTCACAACCCTGAGACCGACGCCATCTATGATGACGATTCCACCATCCAGCGGCAGTGTGCCGCTGAGCAGGTTCACCAGGGTCGACTTTCCGGAACCGTTGGGGCCGACGATGCTGGTCATCCCCGTCCGCGGGATGGAGATGGAGAGCTGGTCCACGGCCCTGACGGCTCCGAAGCGCTTGGAGATCTCGGAGGTCTCAAGCGCGAAGTCGTCTGAGGCGCCGGTGCGAGTTGCGGTCATAGCCTGTACCTCCCAACCAGGCCCTGCGGCCTGAACAGCATCAGCAACACCAGGAGTATACCCAAGACTACCTGTCGCGCCTGGCCGATGTACTCGACAGGCATGAACGGCAGGAAGCGCATCCCCTCTTCGAGCAGGACGAACGCCATCGCGCCCAGCAGAGAACCCCAGATCGTGGCGAGTCCGCCCAGGATCACGATGGATATAAGCAAAATAGATTCGAGCAGGACGAATGAGAAGGGGTCTATGAAGCTGGTCCAGCTGCTGAACAGGCCGCCCGCAAGCCCCGCCATCATGGCGGAGATGACCCATATGACGAGCTTGTACTGCGTTACCCGGTAGCCGAAGACCTCTATCGCCTGCTCGTCCTCGCGGATCGCGGTGAGCACCCTGCCGAAGGAGGAGGTCACTACGAACCACGCTATCAGCATGACCACAGCGAGGGTTGCCAGCACGAAGATGAGAAACTCGAGCTCGCCGTCGAGCACCCAGCCACCTATTTCGGGCCGGGCGATCTCGTGAATTCCGAACGCGCCCCTGGTGAGGCCGCGCCAGTTCAGGAACACGTTGAATGTGATGATCGCGAATCCGAATGAGACGAGTACGTAAATGTCGTCCCTGAACCGGTTGAACACCACTCCCACAATGACCGCGATCAGCCCCGCCAGAAGCACGCTGACAGGCAACGCCGCGAAGAAGGGCCACGCAAAGGTTGGTATAGCCTCGGTGCGGAGCTGCTCGTAGTCTGGATTAGAGCTGAGAATGGCCATAGCGTAGGCGCCGATGCCGAAGAAGCCGATGTGCCCCACCGACAGCAGGCCGGTGAACCCGACGACCAGGTTCAGGCTGACCGCCAGTATGGCCCAGATGGCGAAGACCGTCCCCACGGTGATGGCGAACCCCACGCCCTGCCACAGCATGAACCCAATGGCCCACGCTATGACGAACAGGTTCGCCCACAGTTGGACATTGCCCTTCGACGACTGCCAGAAGCTCCGGGGGTCGCGGAGCAGGGTCGCGAAGTCATTGAAGAGCTGTTTGTTCATCAACAATTCTTTTTCCCTTCGAGAGAGAAGTACAAGACTCAGAACTTCTAGCCGTCATTCCCGCGCACGCGGGAATCCATCTCCTGGCAACACGGTTCGCCGTACTGGACTCCCGCCCCGTATCGAAGTACGGGACATGCTTTCGCGGGAGTGACGAAACTACTGCTGACTGAGTTTTGCACTTATCTCGCCTCTGAGGATGCAGATTTACTTTCTGGGCAGCAGGCCGTTGGGCCAGAACGACAGGAAGAGTATGAGAAGGACGAACGAAATGGCGTCCTTCCACTCTCCGGCCAGGTCCCAGATGCCGAACTGCTCAATCAGGCCCAGCACGAATCCGCCGACTATCGCGCCGTATATGTTTCCAATGCCGCCGACGACTGAGGCGATCCACCCCTTCAGAAGCAGCAGCAGGCCCATTCTGGGCTGAATGGCCGTGTCGTGTCCGCTCAGCACGCCGGCTGCGGCGGCGTACACCGCGCCTATGAAGAAGACGGCGGCGATGACCACGGTCGTATTGATTCCGACGACCTTCGATACCTCTTCGTCGTCTCCTATCGCTCGCACCGCCTTCCCGAAGGAGGTCATCTTGAGAAGGAAGACCAGAAAGACGAACCCGACGAGCGCGACGACGATGGTGAATATGTTGAACCCCTTGATGCTGGCGCCCAGTATCTTCAAGGGGGCACTGCCGAATGCGTCAGGCAGTGGACGCGGCGCGCTCTGGAAGATGATCGTAGTGAACGCGGTGATTGCGAGCAGGATACCGAGCGTGGCCACCAGCATAACCAGCGGAGACCTTGCCCGCTCTCGCATGTACACGTACAGCCCCCGGTACAGGGCCAGTCCCACGATACCGGCCAGAAGGCATGAGACGGCCCAGCTAAGGTACAGCCCGGAGCCGGGCGAATCAGCTACGAGAAGAGCGCAGTACGCTCCAAGCGCAACTCCCGCAACCGCCCCAACGACTAGGACCGGGATCGCGCTGGCCCTGGAGAACACGCTCCTATACGCGCCATAGAGGACCCACACGACAGCCACCGCCACGACCACACCGACGGCCGGACTGAGCACAGTGTTGATCTGGGCGGGAAATGTCAGCGCGAACCCCATGTACACGCCGGCTGCCGCGCCGATCAGCAAGCCGACGGTCCCGAACGACGGTCGGCTTGAGACGGCTCCGCAGGCGGGAACCGAAGCTCGCATGGAACGACCACGCGACGACTCCGGCGGTCACCACCGCGAACAGGATGTTCAGGATGGGTTCGTTGACCTCGTAGCGCCCGCCGAGGGTATCGTGCGAGCGCAGGTAGAAGACGCCGTATGCTCCAAGTGCTGCTGCTGGCGCCGTAGTACAGATCGAAGAACCAGACCGTGCTGTACACCAGGGTGAATCCCATCGCGAGCAGAGCGTACACTGCGCCCACGGCAAGGCCGTTGAAGGTGAACTGCAAGGCCTGGTCAGGGGACTGGGTAATCTTCCAGACGATGTAGAGCACAGCCAGTGCAGTCAGGACGATGGCGAGGGTCGCACTATGGCGACCACGGTATCTGAGCAAGTGACTCCTCGAAGAAGTTGTTGCCTTAGGGCCTCCTCTCCCTTGATGGGAGAGGATTGAGGTGAGGGTGAAGGAGTTGGAACGACTCCCCCTCATCCTAACCTTCTCCCGCCGAGGGAGAAGGGACTTTGGAAACACCCTCTAAGCTAGATTCGTAGATATCGAGATGGCTGTTATCGGTTGATTACGGTGTGGGGCCGGCCAGTGGATCGTCGCGGACCGGCCCCACGGGAATTACGGAATCTACTGCTGCATCATCGCAGATGGAGCCGGGCCGAGTACCCTGTAGCCCTGGTTGGCTTCGGTGCGCTCAGCCAGGGGCAGTACCTCGACCACCACGTTTGCCAGTCCTACGACCTCGCCCCTTTCGTCGAAGCTGTAGCTCTCTCCAATCGTGCCGCTCCAGGTGATGCCATACATGCAGTCTCTGAAGCCGTCAGCGTCCTGGTCGTCGCCGGTCTGCTTCAGGCACTCTGCGGTAATGTACACATCGTCATACGCCGAGCCGAGATACCACGGAAGGGTGACGTAGCCATAGCGTGCGCGGAAACTGGCCAGCACATCCTGGGCCTTCATGTTGCCGGGATCGAGGTCGGTGATAACCGCCTTGAGTCCAGTGGCAGCGTCGCCGGCAATCTCCAGCGCAGTGGTGCCGACAGGAACGATCTCTGAATAGAGACCACCCTCGTATCCAAGCTCGCGGATCTGTTTGACGACGGTTCCGCCGGTGAACTCGGACTGGGCGGCAATGTGTATGGCGTCGGGGTCCTGGCCGATGATCTTGGTCAGCTGCGATCTGAAGTCGGTGACGTCCGATGCGTAGCGCTCCTCGGCAACAACCTCTCCTCCGAGCTTCTCGAACTGCTCGACGGTGGTCCTGCGGACGCCCTCAGCGTAGTCGGTGGCCTCGGTGATGGTGGCGATCGTTCGGACGCCGTCGTCCCAGAGCAGGTTGCCGGTGTCGATGCCGAGCTGCGCGTCGTTGAGCGACGTGCGGAAGATATAGTCGCCGGCTTCGGCGATGTCGGGGTTGGTCGCCAGTCCGGAGAACATGATGACCCCGTCCTCCTCAGCCAGCGGGGCCGCTCCGAGCATCGCGCCGCTGCACGACGTTCCGAGGATGATCTTCACCCCGTCCACGTCGGTCAGCTTTCTGTACGCTGTGATCGAGTCCTGCGCGTTGCACTTCTCGTCTTCGACGATCAGCTCCAGCTTGTGACCGTTGATGCCGCCAGCGGCGTTGATCTCGTCAACGGCCATCTGCTTCGCTTGCACGGCGACTCTGCCGTAGGTCTCGCCTGGACCGGTGACCGACTCCATCACACCGATTCTGAAGGGCTTCTCGTCCATCATCATGCCGGCCATAGACGGAGCCGGACCAAGCATCCTGTAGCCCTGGTTGGCTTCAGTGGCGTCGGCCCACCGCAGGATTTCGCCACGACGTGAGACAGCCCGACACGGACTCTCGCCTCTCGTCGAAGCTGTAATCCACTCCAATGGCGCCACTGAAGGTGATATCGTACATGCAGTCGCGGAAGCCGTCCGCGTCCTGGTCATCTCCGGTGCGCCCCAAACACTCGGCGGCGATATATACCGTGTCGTAGGCCGATCCGAGGAACCAAGTGAGGGTAAGGTAGTCGTAGCGCTCGCGGAAGTTGACGAGTAGGTCCCGCGCCGTTCTGTTGTTCGGGTCGAGGTCTGCGGGTATGATGGCCTTGACGCCCGCGGCGTGCTCTCCAGCTATTTCGAGCGCGGTCGCGCCTGTGGGAACGCTCTCAGTGTAAATCGGGCCTGTGTAGCCGAGCTCGCGCGCCTGCTTGATGATCGTTCCGCCAGCCAGCTCACCCTGGGTGGCCAGGTGCAAGCGCGTCCGGGTTTGCGTTGATGAGCTTAGTAAGCTGCGACCTGAAGTCGGTGACGTCCGAGGCGTAACGCTCCATGGCCACGACCTCACCGCCGAGCTTCTCGAACTGCTCGACAGAGGTCCTGCGGACGCCCTCAGCGTAGTCGGTCGTCTCGGTGATGGTCGCCAGATTCCGGATACCGTCCGCCCACATCGCGTTGCCGGTATCGATGCCCAGCTGCACGTCGCTTATGGCGGTGCGGAAGATGTAGTCGCCCGCGTTGGCGATGTCGGGGTTGGTGGCGGAGGGAGAGAACAGGATAACGCGGTCTTCCTCGGCGAGTGGGGCCGCGCCGAGCATCGCGCCGCTGCACGTCGTGCCCAGAATGATCTTCACCCCGTCCACATCGGTCAGCTTCCTGTACGCAGTGATCGAGTCCTGCGCGTTGCATTTCGAGTCTTCGACGACCAGTTCCAGCATCCGGCCGTTGATACCGCCTGCGGCGTTGATCTCGTCGCGAGCCAACTGCTTGGCGTTGAAACCCGGGTTGCCGTAGGACTCGCCCACGCCGGTGAGGGAGTCCATCACGCCGATCCTGAATGGATCGGGAGTCATGGCGTCAGCGACGGCCATTTCGACCGCCATCCGGATGTCCTCCTGGGAGACTCCTGGGCGATCTGCCAGAACCTTGGCTATCGCGGCTGGTGACCTCTGCTTCGGTCAGGCCCGGCGTCTGCCTGGTGAGCGCGTCGGCTATGGCGCCCGCCAACTGCGACTCGGTGACCCCTGGCCTCTCAACCAGCGCCTTGGCTATCGTGTCTCCGACCTGTGCCTCGGTGAGGCCCGGCGTCTGCTTTGCGAGCGCATCGGCGATTGCGCCCGCCACCTGGGCTTCGGTGACTCCGGGCTGATTTGCAAGCGCCCCGGCTATCGCGTTTCCTACCTGCGACCTGTCACTCCGGGCTGATCGGCCAGTGCCTTGGCTATGGAGTCAGCGACCTGCGCCTGTGTCACTCCGGGCTGGGCCGCGAGTGCGGCCTGCACAGCGGAGGCGACCTCAGCGGGGGTTGCGCCTGTCGGCTGAGATTGCATTGCCTGCTGAATCAGTCCGAGAAGTCCGGAGAGTGGGTTCGAGGCGACGGCGCATCTCTCGCTCGCACGCCTGCCGCAAACAGCGCCAGAAGCACCGCCGGGACCAACAGTGTTATCAGTCTTAGTCTGCTCATTTCAACCTCCTCTCCTCGCACCTATGCCCGGCACGCTCCTTCGAGCGCTGCGCATCCGCCATCACGCTCTCGTACTCGTGGTTGCGTCTCCATTATATACCGACGTTATGATGCCTGTGTACGAAGATTATGTGCGTGAAGTGAAATCGGTGGGAGATTGTGCCCACGCGTGAATGTGCGATCCATCGGTGGGTGTGATCGTTGCGTGCCGCAAAAACGCACGGCGCGTACTACGACTGTGGACTGCCAACCTCTTTCCAGAGCCTGCGGCCTACTGAGATTGCGAGAGCCGTGTACAGCGCATCGACGAGCGGGAAATACACCATGTGGGAGGTGACCGCTTCGCCGGTCTCGCTGTCGGGGTTCAGCGTCCAGAACCACTCCCAGAGAACAGCATCGTCAGTGCGATAGCCCCGTAATAGACCAGGTTGAGTCGCAGGTACTCGGTAACGATGAGCTCATCGGCTTCACGGACATGCTTCCGCAGGAAGCTCACGACCAGGACTATCAGCACGCCCGCGGCCATGAACCAGTTCAGTATTTTCCAAACAGGGTAGTCAGGCGACCCGTCGTGAAACAGCGGCGTCGCTATGAGCAGCGCTGCCGCGGCGACCCCAGTCGCTACAAGATAGACAGCCAGAATTCTCTTCAACAGATCCATGATTCTCGTACCCTCCTTTGGTTCTGCCTGTTTGGACGTTAAGCAGACTCCCGAATCATATCCCAGACTTTCTGACGACAGCTAAGATCGAGGCACGGCTATCGGTCGCGAGCTGACGTTCTCCCGCCCTCTACGGGGCGACACCGGTTCATAAGGACGGATACTGTCGATCTGCTCCGCCTCGGCCCTCTGGGCGTGGTACAGGTCCCAACGGAGTTGCAGGTTCATCCAGAAGTCAGGAGACGTATCGAAGAACTTGGAGAGCCGTAATGCCGTGCTGGGCGTGACCCCTCGTCTCCCGCGGACAACCTCGTTGACGCGCTGGAAGGGGACGTGGATAGCTGTGGCCAGATCGCGCTGTGTCATGCTGAGCGGCAGCAGGAACTCCTGCAGCAGCATCTCGCCTGGGTGAGTCGGCTCCCGGTCTGTGGGGATACGCACCATTACTGGTCTCCCTCTCAATGATAGTCGGTTATTTCGACTTCTACGGGACCAGTTTCGGTCCAGACGAAGCAGATGCGATACTTGTCGTTGACGCGAATGCTGTGTTGCCCGCTTCGGTCCCCGGCCAGTCGCTCCAGTCGATTGCCGGGAGGTACGCGGAGATCACCTATGACTGCGGCGGAATCGAGTTGGTCCAGCTTCCGCTGAGTCACACTCCAAATGGCAGAAGGACAGACACGTCGCGCGCGTCGAGTGTTACGTCCGTTGAATACGTCCTCGGTGCCGCCATCCTTGAACGAAACAATCACGAAGACATGATAGCACGGTAGTCGTGCTATCGAAAATGCTCAGCGTGCCAGGTGAAAGTGTCAGACACAGGTTCGTTCCCGTCCATGCTCTCGCACGCTTTCTGCTATATGCGGTGGGGTAATCAATCATAGGATGGCTCCCTTATGAATCTGATGTACTGTTGGTGGGTACTTCAGCAGACAAAGGCAGCCGCCAGACGTTAATCTGAAGGCAACCACTTTGCATAACGTCCAGATGCCGAACCAGGCCCGGGACGTCGAAATCGGCAGTGGAATGTTTCCCCACGGCGCTGACCATCGTCGGCACCACTGATCGCGCTGCGTTCGTGGTCGCAGTCGAGGACTTCAGGACGCTGATGAGGCGCGCGTAGCCGCCGGTTGTGGGTCCCTCCGGCCGGGCCGCACGGCTGTCAGCCCTGGGCATGTTCGGTTACAATTTCAGTACCGGCAGGTTAGTTGCGGTCTCCGGACCGTTGACAGTGGGGTAAACATGGATGCAAGGGAAACATCGCGGGCAGCCTGGGAGGGTGCACCGTTAAGCGAGCTCGCATCCGAGACGGCGCTCATAGCGGGTGTTGGCGACGCTACAGATGGAGAGTGGGCCTGGACCCTGCCGTCGGAGCATCCCGATCTAATCCCACTGGGAGGCGGCATTCCCGACGCGCCAACGATCCCTTCCGAGCAGTACAGGCGTGCGCTGAACGCTGTTCTGGACGAAGAGGCCGACCACGCCATGGTCTACGGCGGCTGGATGGGATTCGAGGGATTGAGGGAGGGACTGGCCAACCGACAGAACCGACTCGAAGGCCTCGACCTAGACGCGGACAACTTCATCATTCATAACGGCGGTTCCGCAGCGATGGACAACATTGCCAGGACATTCGTCCGTGCTGGTGACGTGGTGATAGTCGAGGGTCCGAGCTTTTCCGGTTTCGTCGAGACGATTCAGGCCTGCCTGGCTGAGATCGTTGAGGTCCCTGTTGACGATGATGGCATCTCGCTTGAGGCCGTAGCGGCTGCCATTGCGGAGGCGGAGGCGGCCGGTAAGACGGTCAAGATGGTCTATACGATCCCCGACTATCACAACCCGACCGGCGTCACGATGTCTGAAGCTCGCCGCAGGGCGCTGCTTGAACTGTGTGCCCCCCACCGCGTCATGGTCGTTGAAGACGGCACGTACAGTGAGCTCTACTTCGATGTCCCTCCTCCTCCTTCGATGTACGCACTGTCCGACGGCTACGGAGTAATGAGAATCGGCACTTTCAGCAAGGTAGCCGCCACCGGCCTGCGAGTTGGCTGGACACAGGCCAGGAGCAGCTTCATAAAGGCGCTGACCAAAGTCAGGTATGACATGGGGGCCAGTCCCATACTGCTCAGGGCAATGGCGCGCTATCTGGAATCCGGCCATCTCGAGTCCCATGTGGAGGAGTTGCGCGAACTGTACGCGCTCAAGTGCCGGACTCTGTGCGACTCTCTCGAAGAACACTGCGGCTCATATGTCAGGTTCACCCGCCCCACGGGAGGGTTCTTCCTGTGGCTGGAGTGCATCGGCGCGCCCGCGTCTGAGGTGAGGGCTGCGGCTGCTGAAGAGGGACTCATACTAGCGGGCGGTTCGACGTTCTTCCACGATCCGAAAAAGGCCCAGGACAGGTATCTCAGGCTCGCCTTCAGCAGCGCGTCTGTTAATCAGCTCAGGGAAGTCGGGGCAAGACTGGCAACTGCGTTTCGCAAAGTCGTTGACTGAGGCCTCTTCCCGACTCTGGCCGGCGGCGCTTCTGGTGCTGACGAAACGCGCCGATCGGCCCGGCTGGAACGATTGCACCCGCCTTGATGCCCTCGTACACTGTCGGAGTTTGGAACTTGGGCACACACACCATGGAGGCACGCAATGAGTGAACTGGACGACCGCTACGAACGCGGACAGGAAACGCGGAGGATGTTTGGCGGCGGACAGATCGTCGGCGGGTCGTCTCCGGGAGCGTGGGACATTGCGCCGGACCTGGAACGGATACTTGGCGAGGCGCTGTTCGGCACCATCTGGAAGCGGCCCGCGTTGACGCCGGTGCAGAGGGAGATGATCACCCTGTCGTGCCTCATAGTCATGAACCGCGAAGTACAGCTGAAACGGCATCTGGGCAACGCGCTGAACATAGGACTGACGCCGGAGCAGGTCGTGGAGTTGATCATTCACGACACCTGGTACGGTGGAGCGCCGGCGGGCATCCAGGCGCTGACGCTGTGCAAAGAGGTCTTCGAGGAGCGAGGGATAGACTTTACTCCGGCCCGCATCCACGACACCGGCGAAGATCCCGAAAGTCTGTTCCAGCGGGGCGATGAGTTCCGGCGCAGCTACATGGGAGACACTTCAGCGGCGCGGCCGACCCCGCCGACGGAAGCTGAGAGGGAGCTGGGCCGCATCACCGGCGAATACTACTGGGGTGCGACCTGGACTCGACCGGGGCTTGATCTCACCAGCCGCTGTCTCTGCACCATGACGTGCCTGGCAGCGTTGGGTCGCGAGGGACCCCTGAGGAGCCATATTCTGGGCGCGCTTAACATCGGGTTGACGCAGGACCAGATCATCGAAGTGTTCGGCCACATGACGCTGTACGCCGGGATACCGTTTGCCCGCGGCGCGATGGACATTGCCAACGATATATTCGCCAGCGCGTGAAGATGCTGCAGCCACTGGCCGGCTTTCGCACGGACTGGAATTCCGTTGACGGTCTACATACCCGATGCTACACTCCCCGCGATCTCACGTAGCCTGGGAACGGGCCGTCACTGCATACTCGCTCCCAGTTAGGAACATAATCCCATGAGCTATCGGCTGGGCGTCGATGTCGGGGGAACGTTCACCGACCTCGCCCTCTACGACACCGATACCAACCGTCTCGAATTCGCCAAGACGCCTTCCACGCCGGTCAACCAGGCCCTCGGAGTAGCTGCCGGAATCCGCGAACTGATGGACCGGCACGCCGTTTCCCCGGACCGGATCGATTTCTTCATACATGGCACGACGGTAGCGACGAACACGCTCCTTGAGCGTAAGGGCGCGAAGACGGCGCTGATCGTTACCGCGGGGTTCCGCGACGTCCTGCAGATCGGCAGGCAGGACAGGCCCGACCTCTACGACTGGCGCATTCGCCGCTCCGATCCGCTGGTCCCGCGCCGCCTGCGTTTCGAGGCCCAGGAGAGAGTGCTCCACACCGGAGAGGTGCTGACGCCTATGGAGATAGAGGGGCTCGACAATATCGTCAAGCGAGTCAAGGACGCCAACATCGACGCTGTTGCCGTGTGTCTCATCCACTCCTACGCCAACCCTGTGCACGAACAGGCCATCGGCGACGCTATCCGTCGTGAGCTGCCGGACATCCCTGTCTCGCTCTCTCACGAGATACTGCCGGAGTTCAAAGAGTACGAGCGGATGAGCACGACTACAATCAACGCCTATGTCGCACCCGTCATGGAGCGCTACTTGCGTCGGCTCGAAAAGAGCATCGCCGAAGTGGGCCTCAAGTCGGATGTGTACATCATGCAGTCCAACGGCGGAACGATGGGCGTGGAAACGGCCATCGAGCGTCCCGTCCACACGATCCTGTCGGGGCCGGCGGCGGGTGTCATCGGCGCTGTCGCCATCGCCCAGCAGGCGGGCAAACCTAACAGCATCTCCATCGACATGGGAGGCACCAGCTTCGACGTGTCGCTCTCGTACAGGGGTGAAGTCCGCCGAACACAGGAAAGCGAACTCGAACGCCTTCCTGTCAAGGTTCCAATGGTGGATATCCACACGCTTGGCGCTGGCGGAGGAAGTATCGCGTGGATAGATCCCGGCGGAGCGCTCAGAGTCGGTCCGCAGAGCGCGGGCGCTGACCCAGGGCCCGCTTGCTACGGCAACGGGGGCACTGAGGCGACAGTAACGGACGCGAACCTTGTTCTCGGCAGGCTAGGAGCGACTAGTCTCCTCGGCGGCACAATGACCCTTGACAGGGAGTTGGCCCGAGACGTCATCTCCGAGCGCATCGCCAGGCCGCTGAGCCTCACCGTGGAGGAGGCAGCCGAAGGCATCGTACAGGTCGTCAACGCCAGCATGGTAAAGGGCATCCGAGTCGTATCGGTCTCCAAAGGCTACGACCCGCGCGAGTTCTCCCTTGTTGCGTTCGGTGGAGCGGGACCGCTCCATGCCTCAGAGCTTGCCGACGAGATGGACATTCCCACCGTGCTCGTTCCCGTTGCGCCCGGTGTCACATCGGCCCTGGGGCTGCTGATGGCCGACCTGAGACACGACTTCACGCAAACGGTGCTCAAGCCCGGCAACGAACTGTCGCCGACCGAGATCACGTCCTGGTACGAGCAGCTGGAAACGCAGGCGATGGAGCAGATGGCCCGCGAGGCGGTCGCGCCGGAGGACGTATCTCTCGTTCGAGCGGCGGACGCGCGATACGTCGGACAGGGCTACGAGCTAGAGGTCCTGGCTCAGTCAGGCAAGCTCGAACAGCGCGACGTCGAGGAGATCGTGGAGCGATTCCACGATGCGCATGTCCGCAGCTACGGCTACGCCTCGCGCGACAACGCGGTCGAGGTCGTCAATCTCCGAGTCACGGCCCTCGCGTCCATGCCCTCGCCCCGACCTCGCCAGCGATTCACGGAATGGCGGCGGAGACCCCTCTCTCTCTCGCATTGGCGAACGGAGCGTGTATTTCCGTAACGAACCGAAGACGACAAGCATCTATGATCGATCAGGTCTCCGTCCCGGGGACGTGATCGAGGGGCCGGCAATCGTAGAGCAGCTTGACTCTACAACGGTCGTATGGGAACACCAAACGGCCACCGTCGACAACCACCTCAACCTCCTCGTAACCGGCAGACACAGGTAGAGTCCGCGAGTCATACGCAACATTCGCAACGAAATACTCTCTCCCCAGGTACGCCCATGACGCCAACCAACGTCGATCCGATTACGCTCGAAGTGATGCGCAACGGGTTTTACTCCATCGCGGACGAGATGATCGCCGCGCTGATCCGCGCGAGCTACTCCACGAACATCAAAGACCGTCGGGATACGTCGGGAGCAATCTACACCGGCGCCGGCGATGTGGTCGTGGTGGCGCAGAGCGAGATTGGTACCCCGCTGCATCTTGGTACGATGCACTCCGCCGTCTTGACCGCTATGGACCAGTACCCGTTCGAGGAGCTGGAGCCGGGCGACGCCGTCGCGCTCAATACGCCCTACCCAGCCGGTCCCGGCCATCTCAACGACCTGGCGCTGATATCACCCGTATTCTATGAGGGCGAGCTCATTGCCATAACCGCCAATCAGGCCCACCACGTCGACATGGGCGGATTCGCCCCTGGGTCGATGCCATTCGGCGTCACGGAGATTTTTCAAGAGGGCCTGCAAATTCCCACCGTGCGCCTGTTCCACAAGGGACAGCTCAACCGCGACCTCTGGGCACTGATCGCTCAGAACGTTCGCCCCAGGACCGAAGTACGGGGCGACCTCCTTGCTCAGTTCGCCGCCAACAACGTCGCCGAGCGTCGGCTGACCGATCTCGCGTCGCGGTACGGACCGGAGATGGTGAGACGCTACCTCGACGAGATGCTGAACTACTCCGAGAGGCGCATGAGGGCCGCGCTGAAGCAGATACCCATCGGCACCTACGAGTTCGAGGACGTGATGGAAGGTGACGGCATAACCGATTCGCCGATCACCATCCGCGTCAAGATCGAATCGAAGGGCGACTCGTTCGTCGCCGACTTCACGGCAAGCGACGACGCCTGCAAAGGGCCCCTCAACTGCCGCTGGCCTTCCGTCGCAGCATGCGTCTATTACGTGCTCAAGGCCTGCCTCGACCCGGAGCTTCCACCTAACGCGGGGGCGTACCGTCCCGTCGAGATCAAGGTACGGGAGGGCAGCCTCCTGTCCGCGCGGTACCCGATGGCCGTGTGCAACGCCAACATCATCACCACGCAGCGGATCACCGATGTGCTGCTCGGCGCGCTTGCGCCCGTTATTCCCGATAAGGTGCTGGCGGCCTGTTCAGGTACGATGAATCTGCTCAACATCGGTGGTATCGACCCGCGCAACGGCATCTACTACAACTACGTAGAGACCTACGCAGGCGGCCAGGGCGCCATGCATAACGCGGACGGGATGGACGCCGTCCAGAACCACATGACAAACACCCGCAACGCCCCGGTGGAGTCAATCGAGCTTGCCTATCCCCTGCTCGTCGAGTCCTACGGACTGGTGCCGGACAGCGAAGGCGCCGGTCGGTACCGGGGCGGACTGGGAATTCATCGGCACCTGCGCGTGCTGGGTGAAAGCGTCACCCTGACCCTCAGTTCCGACCGGGAACAGAGTAAGTCCCTGGGGCCTCTTCGGGGGCGAGGACGCAGACCGATCGGCGTGCATCATAGAGGCCCCGGACGGCTCTGAGAAACGACTGCCTCCAAGGTCACAACGACCGTACCGCACGACCACGTCATCAAGACACAGACTCCCGGTGGTGGTGGCTGGGGCGACACCGGAGACCGCGATATCGAGGCCGTAACTCACGACGTGAACGAAGAGTTCATCTCGCCTGAGCGGGCCGAGTCGGTCTACGGGGTCACGGTAGAAAGATAAAGTGGCGACCCCGGCGGGCTAGGGCTTGGCCATCATGTACCCGACGCGGGGCTGCGTCACGATATATTTCCGGTCGCTCGCGTCCCCGCCCAGCTTGCGACGGAGCTACTTAACGCGATAGGTGCCGCGATGATTGTGGATGACTGTCACCCTACCCAATAGGGAGATTAACCTAATGACAGTGAAGATTGTTTCCTGGAACATCGGTGGCGGGGTAGCTCCACCGACGACTTCGCATTCAACCCACTTGGGCATGTTCAGGACGAACGAATGCGGGCGAGACGCCCGCGCTCCAGAACATGGCTGAACTGCCACACCTGCAAGACTGATAGAGGCTGGGATCTTACCTACGCCTTGACAGGTTATAGTATGTGTTCTACGTTGAAACTACTACTTATAACGTGTCTTGTCTAAACAATGACACAATGTCGCAACCGACACTTCGCAAGGAGATATTCCATGGCCCCCCGTCTCCTGGACAAGATCGATGAACCGGGCGACCTCAGAGAGCTGACCCACGAAGAGCTGGCCCAGGTCGCGCAAGAGGCGCGAGACATCATCATCTCCGTGATAACGGAGCGCGGGGGTCACCTGGCATCTAACCTGGGTGTGGTCGAGCTCACACTGGCCCTGCACCGCATTTTCGACAGTCCCACAGACCGTATAGTCTGGGATACGACCAACCAGCTCTACACTCACAAACTGGTAACGGGCCGCCGGGACGAGTTCAAGGACATCCGGCTGGAGGGCGGCCTATCCGGGTTCGGGGAACCCAGCGAGAGCCCGCACGACACGCTCGCCGCGGGCCACGCCGGCACGGGCCTATCGATCGCTCTCGGCATCGCGGAGGGCGCGGCTGTACAGGCGGTTCGCGAACCGCCCCTACCCTGGACCATCGCTGTGGTCGGAGACGGAGCGTTGACCTCCGGGTCCAGCTTCGAGGCGCTCAACAACATCGTGCACCTCAACCCTGAGAAGTTCATCGTCATCCTCAACGACAACGGATGTCCATTCCGAGAACATCGGTTTCTCACGAACTGGCGCAAGCGTCTCATCACGCATCCCGAGTACCAGTCGATGATCGAGCGGATGAAGGCGCTCTCCAAGAGGATCCCACGGGCGAGCTGATGTACGGGCTGGTCAAGAGGTTCAACACGGCGCTGGCCGGTTTCATCGTGCCCACGATGTTCTGGACCGAGATGGGTTTCCAGTATCTCGGCCCCATCGACGGACACGACTTCAAGCAGATCGAACAGACGCTCAAACAGGCCAGAACGCCCACCGGCCTTGTCCGCTGGTCCACGTGGTGACGCACAAGGGTCCACGGCTACGAGCCCGCCGAGGACGACCCGGTCAGGTTCCACCAGCCGAGCTCTCCGCTGGGAGACGCCTCGGGAGCGCCCACGTACTCGAGCGTGTTCGCCCAGACGATCACGCGCATCATGCAGGAGGACGAGTCCGTCGTCGGCATCAGCGCGGCGATGCTCGAGGGCACAGGCCTGGTCGGAGTCCAGCGCGAGTTCCCTGAGAGGGTCTTCGACGTGGGCATCGCGGAGCAGCACGCGGTCAGCATGGCGGCGGGAATGGCCTCCGCGGGACTCAACCCTTCGTCTCGATCTACTCGACGTTCCTGCAGCGTGCGTTCGACCAGATAGTCCACGACGTCTGTCTCAGAACCTGCCGGTGACGCTAATCGCCGACCGGGCGGGCATCGTCGGCGAGGACGGCAAGACACACCACGGCGCGTTCGACATCACGTACCTGCGGTGTCTGCCCAACGCGGTCGTGGCAGCGCCGTCGAACGAGAACGAGCTCCAGCACCTGGTATATACGTCCTACAAGCACCGGGGCCCTTTCGCCATACGTATCGCGCGGGGAGCCGCCGTCGGGGTACCCCTCGACAGCGACCTCAAGGAGCTGCCTCTCGGCAAAGGCTACGTGGTCCGGGAGGGCCGCGACGTCGCGATCTTCGGTCTGGGCAAGGCTAACAACGCAGCCGAGGCGGCGGCGGAAATGCTTGCCGAGTACGGCATCGACTGCGGGGTGGTGAACCCGGTCTTCGTGAAGCCGCTCGACATCGAGCTGCTCCTGGACACCGTTCGCAGCGTCCCCCGGATTGTCACGGTGGAAGAGAACGTGGTGGCCGGAGGGTTCGGCTCGGCGGTGCTGGAAGCGCTCGCCGATGCCGGCGTGAACGACGTAGCGGTCCACCGCATCGGTATGCCGGACTTCTTCATCGAGCACGGCACTGCTGCCGACCAGCGACAACGGCTGCAACTGGACGCCCAGGGCATTGTCGAAAGAGTGCTGAGCGCATTCTTCCCGAACGCTACGAAGAGGTCACTCGCCAGCGCAGTCGACCAGGGAGTGGCAGCGGGGGCGTAGCGGGCACTCCGAGCTACCGGCGGGCGTCCTGCAGCAGGTGACGCAGACGCGGGTCCATGGCGTCTCGCAGTGCGTCGCCGAGCAGGTTGAACGCGAGAACCGCCCGAATATGGCGAAGCCCGGGAAGATGGGAATCCACCATGCCGCCTGTACGTACTGGCGACCGCCGGATACGAGCGCGCCCATTCCGGGTAGCGGCGGCTGCGCGCCCGCTCCGATGAAGCTGAGGCCCGCCGCAAGCAGGATTGCGAGACCGAAGTCGAGGGTGCGATGCACCACAGCACCGGGGGACTAGCTGTTCGCAGTAAGTATGTGACGCCATATCGAGCCGGGTGTGCGTGCGACGCTCCAGCGCTCTTCGAGGCAGATAATCTTGCCCTTTGGCACGAGAACGCTGCTTCGCATCAAACGGGCGTACGACGTCCAGCGGACGATTGCGATCCCAATGATCGCTGACTCGATACTGTGCCCAGGGCCGTGGCAACCACGAGCGCCATGACAAGGTCGGGGAACGCCAGGAAGATGTCCGTGATCTCATGGAGACTTCGTCGATCCATCCGCGTGTAGAAGCGTTAGTGAGAACTACGGTGACACCAATGCTGCCGGCTACGATCACCACCAGCGCGCCGACCCGTAGTCATGATAGCGACCGGCCTTCCAAAAAGAGTGAAAAGTCGACCGGCTGATGCCCAGATTACCGATGGTAGACGCGCTCACACCACGGGAGAATGTAAGAAGATGACGCCGTGATTTACGCACGCAGAAGAACGGTAGAGGTCAGAGGCAAATGTAGAAGGGTCCAGGCTCGGGCTGTCGAGCGCAGGGCCCACCGCGAACTTGTCGTACGGGTGCGGCGCTATCGCAGGCCCAGCGACCGCTATGAACACGTAGACCAGCACCAATATCAGTCCGAACGCCGCGGGCGGGTTGCCTCTAAGAATACGTGCTCCCGCCCGCGCTCTATCGAGTACAGAGGCGCCCAGGCTTTGTTGCTGTGGGGCGGAGATCAAAGAGAGCCTGTCTGTAGGGGCGGTTCGCGAACCGCCCCTACGTGTATGTGATGCGTGGGTCGAGGACCGCCACAGCGATGTCCACGATGAGATTGGCCGTGGAGTAGGCGATTCCAATGACTAGCGCGACGGAAGTTACGGCGGCACGGTCGAGGAAGAAGATCGACTGGACCGCGAACCGTCCAAGTCCGGGCCAGGCGAAGATCGTTTCAGTTAGAACGGCTCCGGAGAGCAGGCCGCCTACCAGGAGACCCAGGATCGTCACTGTCGGAATCAGCGCATTTCGGAGCGGCGTGCGTATAGAACACGGACCCTGTTGTGGACAGTCCTGGCGCTGGGCATGCGCGAGTGTAGTCCTCTCCCCCAGCACATCCGACAGTACTGCGACTCCTCGTGACACGGGCGAGCAGTCCAACGACTGAGAAGGCGAGCACGAATGCCGGCAGCGCCAGGTGGTGGAAGGCAGACACGAATCCCCTGAGGTCGCCGGCGACGAGGGTGTCTATGGTGTAGAACCCGGGTACTGTCTGGGGAACGTCGAGGGTGAGGCCGATTCGCTGAGAGATGGCACCCATCCAAAATAGAAGAAGAACACCAGCAGCATGATGATAGCGAACCAGAAGATGGGCATGGACGTGCCGAAGAGGGACACAATGCGGACGACGTGGTCCGGCAGTGCATTCCTCTTGACGGCGGCGAATATCCCGGCTGGTATGGCCATAATCACAGCCATCAGGAAGGCCACCGCGGAGAGCTCCGCCGTGGCGGGGAGGAAGCTCGCCAGCTCCGTCCGTATCTCCTTCCTGGTCACGAACGACTCACCGAAGTCGCCGCGGACCAGGTTGCCCATGAACGTGATGTACTGCATGTAGGCGGGCTTGTCGAACCCCCAGCGCTCTCTGAACTTTTCGACGGCATCATTACTGATGCCTCCGGTTGTGTCCATGAGGATCGTTGACGGGTCTCCGGGCATGACAATCATCATGAAAAAGGTCAGCGACGAGACGCCGACAAGTACGAATACCTGGAGGAGCATCCGGCGAATTATGTATCTGGTTAGAGACAAGTAGTGTCTCTCATCAGAGATCCTGGGACGGATGACGAAAGCGGGAACCCACCGGCGACCGAGCGAAGGCTCAATCGCCGGTGGGTCATCTATGCCCGATTATGGAGTATGCGCGACCTGCTATTTCTTGGTCATGTAGCGGAATTCGGGCGTGAAGGCGTGGGCGGCCGGAACGATGTTGCCGATGTTCGTCCGATGCGCGACTGAGTCGCGTACCTGGAGCACCGTCATCTCACCGCAGTTGTCGACCATAAGCTCAGACATTTCACGGTAGATGACGTGGCGTGCCTGCGAATCGGTCTCGATGCGCCCCATTTCGGTCAGTTCGGCGAGCCTTGCGGCAACGTCCGGGACCACGTCGTCGAGTCCAAGCATGTTGCACTCTCCGACCGCCCTCACGTGGCGGGCTGGTCGGCATCGAAGTAGGTGACGCCGAGGCCGGAGATTCCGAAGTCGCGCATCTCTTCAGCGATGATTTCACCCCAGAACCTGGAGCTGGTCGACTGGACGATCTCTGCGTTGATGCCGACTTCCTTCAGGTTGTTCTGGAAGAACTCCAGGGCCTTCTGGTAGACGACGGAGCCGCAGGCGCCGGTGCGAAGCTGGATCTTGACGTCGAAGCCATCGGCGAAACCCGCGTCTGCGAGAAGCTGCCTGGCCAGCTCGGGGTTGTGGTAGTACTTCGTAGCGATGGTCGGGTCGTGTCCGGCCATGCCAGGGAGGATCAGGCTCTGGTGAACGTCTGCCAGTCCGAGCGCGACGACGTCACGCAGGCCCTGGTAGTTGATCGCGTGCCGAAGGGCCTGGAAGGCCTCGGGAGTGTCGAGCGGCTCGATGCGCCTGTCAACCAGGAAGTTGCACGTGATGAGCGACGGGTATGTGTAAACGTTGACGTCGTCGTCACCCTGGAACGACTGGAGAGAGACGGGGTCGAGCTGGAGCGCGACGTCGACCTCACCCGCGGAGAGCTGAAGTGCGCCGACGGCAGGCTCGGGAACGTGTAGGTCGATAACACGCTCTACCGATGGGCTCACACCGTCGTGACCGCCCCAGTAGTCCATGTTCCTGGCCATGACCAGGCGCTGCTCAGCGGTGAAGCTCTCCAACATGAACGGGCCGGTGCCGATGGACCTCTCGCTTGCCCACCCGACGCCGAAGTCGGAGCCGTTTTCGTCCATGACCTCGTTGGCGAGCGCCTCTTCGGCGTCGACAATCAGCAGGTCCTTGGAGGTGAGAAGCGGCAGCAAAGGAGCATATGGGTCGGTTTGTGAGAGTCCACTGGAACGTCGAGTCGTCAACTGCTTCCATGTTCTCGGTGAGTGTGTACCATGCCTGGCTTTCGGCGACTCCCTCACGCTCGAAGACGTTGAACGCGCGCTGTATGGACTTGTGCACCGCGTCGGCTGTTACCGGACGTCCGGTGGTGAAATTCACGTCTGGGCGAATGTTGAACGTGTAGGTCTTGCCGTCTTCTGAGATCTCCCAGGACTCGGCAAGGTTAGGGACTACGTTCTTGTTGGGCGAGGTGTTGTCGATGGCCACCAGCCCGTCGAACATGTTGAACGACACCCGGCAACCCCAGAAAGAGCAGCCTCTCGGCGGGGTGAGGTTGGCGAGAGAAGATCACAACGTCCTGAGAGCAGGGTGGGGTAGTCCATCATCATGCGGGCTCGTCCATGGCGGGCGCGGGCATAGCCATCGAGACCGCTTCGGAAACGGCCTTCTGGATGTCTTCCTGCGTAACGCCCGGGCGGTCGGCCAGCGCCTTGGCGATGGCCTCAGAGACTTCCGCCTCGGTCAGGCCGGGAGTCTGAGCCGCCAATGCCTCGGCGATTGCCCCCGCTACCTGGCCCTCGGTCACGCCTGGCCTCTCGGCCAGAGCGCTGGCGATGCGTGTCCGTCGCCGACTGCGCCCTAGTATACCGGGGGGGGTCGATTGCGCAGCGCAAACCTATGGCGCCAGTACCGGGATAGGTTTGATGCCGGGCGTCTGACTGCGCAGCGCCCCGCCTATAGCGTCGGCTACCTGGGATTCGGTCACGCCCGGGCTGTCGGACATGGCCCTGGAGATGGCGCCAGCCATCTGGTCCTCGGTCACGCCGGCTGTGCTGACATGGCCTGCTGGACCGCCTGGGCAACCTCATCGGCAGACGCGCCCTGCGGCTGTGCTTCGAGCGCCTGCTGGATAATTGCCGACACATCCGGAGTCGGCGACGGAGCCGGCGCGTCGCTCGAACAGGCGACCGTCAAGCAATGCGATCAGCATGATCGGCACTATGAGAGTGGTCATTCTAGCTATCTTCAAGGTAATGTTCCCGTCCTTTCAAAAGTCCACTAGCTTCAGGAAAAACCGTTATCAGGTTCCTTCAAAACTCAAGGGATTTTCGTTTGTCTCGGCCCTGATCTGTCAAATCGATCGATCGAATGAGCCTGTAACAATTTTGTGGGTGACTCAATCGGCAATCGCCTTCCGGGAGGTCCTGAACGAACGAATGCGGGCGAGACGCCCGCGCTCCATGTGTGTACTTACAGCTGACACAGGTTCCAAGTGTATCGGTTTAGCAGGCGAGAGTGTCACCCTCACCCCCATATCGAGTACGGGGCAGGCTCCAACCCTCTCTCTCATGGAATGCGTAGGTATTCTGTACTAACCCTCTCCCCAACCCTCTCCCCCGGCCTTCGCCGGGGCAGGCTCTGTTGAGGGAAGCTGTTCGACATGTTGGTTGAGGTTTCAACAGGCCTGGATCCGCGTTACGCGGGAATGACGATTGGGGAACACATGCCCCTGTCAGTCCTCATGGAGAGGGGGTATGTTGGTTGGCATTCGTGCTTGCGGGTAGGGTGCAGCGGTCTCTCGCGTTCTTTCACTTATAATGCGCGGGCGGTCCGACAGGTGCGATCCGTCGGACGCTGTCAATCGAATCAACTGACCCTGGATGTCGCGGAGGTACTAGCTTGGGAACACCGGAGACTCGACAACAGCCGGCCGCTCAGAACGATGTGCAGACGCAATGCGCCCGCACACATTCATTCCCGGCTCACTGGAGTGGCGCTGCGTAGGGCCATTTCGGGGGGGAAAAGTGGTCTCGGTCGCCGGGGACGTCTCCAACCCGATGGTGTTCTACTTCGGGTGCGCCGGAGGGGTGTGGAAGACCAACGACGGCGGCACCTACTGGGAAAACGTGTCCGACGGGTACTTCAAGACCTCCGCGGTGGGGGCTATCGCGGTATCCGAGTCCGACCCCAACGTAGTCTATGCAGGCATGGGCGAGTCGTGCACCGCGATCCCGAGGCTGCATTGGACCTCCCGCGCGGACGGGATGTACAGGTCCACGGACGCGGGAAGGTCGTGGGTGAATGTGGGGCTGGAGAAGACGCGGTACATCGCGCGGCTCCGAATACACCCGAACAATCCCGACCTCGTCTATGCCTCGGGTACTCGGACACCTGGAGGGCCCGGACACGGAGAAGGGCGTGTTCAGGTCGGACGACGGCGGACGGTCCTGGGAGCGAGTCCTGTTCCGCAGCGAGAACGCCGGATCGAACGATATATGGATGGACCCGACCAATCCGCGAGTCATGTACGCGACGACGTGGGACTCCCGGCGCAGCTACTGGAACTCGTACAGCGGCGGGCCGGACAGCCGGATATACAGGAGCCTCGACGGGGGCGATACCTGGACGGACCTGACGGACAATCCCGGGCTTCCGAACGTAATCAAGGGGCGAATCGGCGTAACCGGCACGGCCGCTCGGCCCGGGAGAGTGTGGGCGCTTTTCGACGTGGGCGGCGCGGCCAGTGTGGCTGCGCTCGCGGAGATGGGCGGCAGAACGGGTGGACTGTACAGGTCAGACGACTATGGAGAGACGTGGGAGCACGTAAACGACAACCCTGAGATGACAGTGCGTCCACACTACTACAACCACATCTTCGGAGACCCCGGGAACCCCGAGGTCATATACAACCTCAACCAGCCGTTCTGGAAATCGATAGACGGGGGACGAACGTTCAACACGGTGGAGCTGCCCCACTACGACAACCACGATCTCTGGATCGACCCGAACGACTCCAACCGCATGATAAACGGCAACGACGGCGGGGCGTGCGTGACTTTCAACGGCGGCGAGACGTGGTCGTCGATCTACAACCAGCCGACGGGCGAGTTCACCACATCACGGCAGACCGGGAGTTCCCATACCGTCTTTACGCCACCCAGCAGGACAACTCCTCGATAAGCGTGCCGAGCCGTTCGAGCAGGGGAGCGATTCGGTGGGCTGACTGCTACTCGGTCGGTAGCTCGGAGAGCGGACACATAGCGGTCAGGCAGGATAACCCGAACATATCGTACTCCGGCGCGCTGGGAAGCTCTCCCGGGGCCGGGGCCATCATGCTCAGGTACGACCACTCGAACGAGCAGGTGCGTGTCGTCACCGTGTGGCCGGACCTTACCGGGCTGACAGTGCCCAGTAGAAAGTACCGGTTCGAGTGGGACAGCCCCATAGCGTTCTCTCCCCACGATCCGAACGTGCTGTATTCGGCTGCGAACGTGGTGTTCAGGTCCGTGGACGACGGGTCGAGCTGGGAGGTGATCAGTCCCGACCTGACCAGGGACGACGTGTCGGACAGAGAGGACTTCGATCCAGACACGAACATCGCGCCCTTCGAGCGGTGCGCCATATCCAGGTTCGCGGAGTCTCCGGTTCAACAGGGGGTGTTCTGGACGGGCTCCAGCGACGGGCTGATACATGTCTCGCGAGACGGTGGAGCGACCTGGGCCGACGTTACGCCCGACGGCCTGCCTGAATGGACTCCGATCTACGGACTGGAGGCGTCGCCCCACGACGCGGGAACGGCCTACGTCGCGGCAGCGCGGTACCAGCACGGCGACTACATGCCATACCTGTTCCGTACCAGCGACTACGGCGCAACCTGGACGGCTATCAGCGAGGGCATCCCCGAGGGGGACTACACACGGGTCATCAGGGAAGACCCGGAGCGTGAGGGGCTGCTGTACGCCGGGACCGAGGGCGGGTTTACGTCTCGTTCGACGATGGGGACTCGTGGGACTCGCTCCAGCTCAACCCCGTGTCGGGGCACGGGGCAGGCCTGCCGCCTGTGCCGATACATGACATGGTAGTCCGGGACGGCGACCTGGCGGTCGCGACGCATGGGCGGTCGCTGTGGATACTGGACGGCCTGTCCACTCTCCACAGTTCGGGAACGTGGAAGACGCCGCGAGCGCGCATCTATTCCGACCCGGGCCCACGTACAGAATCCTCTCGGAGCCATACGGATACTGGAACCAGGCTGCCGGACGCACCAAGCATTACCAGCTCAGTCTTGGAATCCCGGCGACGTATCGTATCTCTGAAACTGAGCATGGAACGCGATCCATAACGCCAATCGACGCCGGTCAGAACCCGCCTGGCGGAGTTGTGGTTACGTACTTCCTTAGCGTGGAACCGGAGGGAGAAGCCACGCTCACGTTTATAACAGACGAGGGCGAGGTCGTCCGGCATCTCTCCAGTCGCACTGGTAGCCCCAGGGTTCCCACACAGCAGGGCATGAACAGGTTTGTGTGGGACATGAAGCACGAGGGAGCGCGGCGAGTCGAAGGGGAATCAGGAGCCGGTCGGCCGATGTACGTTCCCATCGTCCCGCCGGGAACGTATCGAGTACGGCTGCAGATCGGCGAGGAGGCCTGGGAGGAGAGGTTCGACGTACTCGCAGACCCGCGCGTGAGCATATCCCCGGAAGACCTGGGACGTCAGCACGACCTGCTGATCGCGATACGCGACAAGGTGTCGGAGTCGTCAGACGCCGTGGAGACGGCCCGCAGCACCGTCGGCCAGATCGAGCAGTGGACAGAGCGTTCGACCGGCGCGACCGGCAGGGAAGTGGTGACAGAGGCGGCGGAAGGCCTGAGGGAGAAGCTGTCGGCGATCGAGGACGAGCTGCTGATGGGAAGCGTCAGTTCCGATACACCGATGCGAGGGGCGTTCTACGCCAGGGGTCTGCGCTCCAGACTCGCTTCACTAGGGGACACTGTCGGAATGGCCGACGGCGCGCCGACTCGGCAGTCCTACGAGGTGTTCGAGGACCTGCGGTCCCAGATAGACAGTCAGCTTTGATGTCCTGCGCGGCATTCTCGATGAGGATCTCGAAGCCTTCAACAGCATAGTACGGGAGCTTGACCTGCCTCCGGTGATTCTCGGAGGAGACGAACAGGGTTAGCGGACTATCGCCAGGGTGTGAGCGTAGTGCGCGGCCTGGTCTACGATTTCGAGACGCGACCAATGAATATGGCAAGGCCGTGATTGGCACAAATTGATTGACGTCCGATTTGACACTGTCTAAGACTCTAGGTAGAATTCTCGCTTGTCGCCACTTGTTGACGACTCGACTTTTGTCTGTTCCCAGATTCGATGCATAGTAGGGGTCTTTTATGCCCACAGTGAATCAATTAATACGGAAGCCGCGCCGCTCCAAGCACAAGAAGGAGAAGGCTCCAGCGCTTCGATATTCGTTCAATTCGCTGAAGAATCGCACTCGCAGGGGCTCCGGCTCGCCACAGAAGCGCGGCGTCTGCATACAGGTTCGTACACAGACACCCAAGAAGCCGAATTCCGCGCTGCGAAAGGTTGCCAGGGTGCGGCTGACCAACCAGATGGAGGTCACCGCGTACATACCCGGGGAGGGTCACAACCTCCAGGAGCACTCAGTGGTCCTCATCAGGGGCGGTCGAGTCAAGGACCTGCCCGGCGTGCGATACCACATTGTTCGCGGCGCGCTGGACACCGAGGGCGTGACCGACCGAAAGCGCGGTCGCAGCAAGTACGGCGCCAAGAGAGACGCCAGAATCCTTTAGTCGGGGTTATTAATCGTTAGAGTTCCCCACCCATGGATTCCGGCCTGCGCCGGGATGACGGGCGGGCTACCTGAACAAACAGTAATAGAGGACACCGGATGGCGCGAAGACGAAGGGCCGAGAGACGCAGGGTCATACCCGACCCGAAGTACCATAACATGGAGCTTGCTCAGTTCATCAACAAGGTGATGCTGAACGGCAAGAAGACAGTTGCTCAGAAGATCGTGTACAACGCGCTGGATATTGCATCCGACGAGGTACGCCGTCCACCGCAGGAGGTCTTCGAGCAGGCGATTCGCAACACGATGCCCATGGTCGAGGTGCGGTCTCGCAGGGTCGGCGGCGCGACCTACCAGGTCCCGACCGAGGTCCGGCCTGAGCGCAGACTTGCGCTGTCGATGCGATGGATAATCCAGGCGGCAAGGACGAGACGCGGCAGGCCAATGGCCGAGCGGCTTTCGATCGA